CCCCCCCTGCAGCCTCATGTACTCATGGGTGGGGCTTTTCAGAGCTGGCTGGATCTAGACCATGTGATACTAGGAGTAAGGGAGTATGGCACTAGTTTAGTCCACTGATTGGAATCAGCATAGGTCTGGGTGGCACCACCCAAAAGGGCAGTAACCTGGATGGCATAAAAGGGAAAGGTAGCCTGACTGTGGCTGCTTACCTTCTTCCTACCACACCATGAACTCTTTCTCTTCTGTGATGCTCCTCTGCTGTGCCACCTTGCCTTAGAGCCAGCCAACTATGGACTGGAATCTCTACAAACTGTGAGCTAAAATAAACTTTTGCTCCTTTAACTTTGGGTGTTGGGTATTTTATATCAGCAATGAGAAAAATAACTAAGACCCACTGTTTCAAGAAACCAAAAAAATGCAAATGAAGCATGCCTTTCAAAACATCAACACAATTTACCAGTGATTAGAAAATAAAGGATGAAGAAAAATAGAGAGCCTTTTCTCCCAATATAGTAGGTGCGTATTTCCTTTGACTTGGCCATTCTGGCACACAAGAAAAAAGGATAAACAGCCCCACCATTTTCTAGCAATGTTCCAAATATCATACCCTGTCATCACCAGACTCTAGATGTAGGACAGCTTGATACCAAACAGTTTTACTGAGCAGTTTCTGAGCCTTTATTCCAATATCTGCCAGCAGGATTCCCAGCTAGTTCCCGTTATCTAAATATCATGGTAGTATGTGTTGTGTCATCTCATTTCTCATTCCTAATTCTTTGGGGACTGGAGTGGTTCTAAGAAATGGCTTGCAGGAGTTTTAGTTTCCCCATCCCCATAAGTTCCAGGAGCATCTCACCCTCACTCATTGATGTAGATAATTGATATAGTCACAGTCTTATGTAAAGTGCTTAGTAAAGCTCCTTTTTTCAATTATATATATTTAATAGAATATTAATATATACTTCTTTAGGTCCCCAAGAAACAATGCTGGAGATTGTAGAAGTTAGACAACATACATATACACGTATGTATTTAGTTTTCCAATGTTTTAATGCATGTATAGGTTGTTCAAAGGGAATTTAAACACCCAGCATGTTGGTACACACCTCCAATCCCAATGCTCGGTGGGCAGAGGCAGGATCTAGAGTTTGAGATCAGCCTGGGCTTTTAGTGAGTTCAAGACCAGTCTAAATTACAAGGCAATAAAAAAAAAAGTCAGGCATGATGGTGCGTGCCTGTAATCCCAGCACTCTGGGAGGCTGAGGCAGGAGAATCACAAATTTCAGCCCAGCCTGGGCAGTTTGGTGAAACCCTGTCTGTCTCAAAGAAATTAAAGAGGCTGAGGATATAGCTCAGTGAGAAGACCCTGGCTTCAGTCCCCAGTACTGTATAAATACATACATACATACATAAATTTAATCATATAAGAAAACATTATTAAATGACCATAAATGAGAAAAACATATATTTAACAAAGAAACCTAAGGGAAAACATTTAACCTGAAAATTCATTAAGAAAATTTGAGATAAAAGAGTAATATAAAACTAACCATGTTATTTGTCTAATACTTAGGTTCGGGCTAAAATTGACATATACTTGCATTGCTATTGGTATTATAAACTAATAGATAAGAACCACTGACTAAGTCTACATGGGGGCAAAAGGGAGAAAGGATTTTTGTTTTACTTAAGCTGATGAAGGTATGTATGTACTTTTTACTTTTTCTTATGTTCATATGTTTCTCATATATTTATGTTTTTGATGTTCCCACCAAAACTCATATGCTGAAGTCCTAACCCCCATAACCTCAGAATATAACTGTGTTTGGAGATAGGACCTTTTAAGCCATAGCTAAGGTAAAATGAGGCCATATCATTAGGCCCTAATCTAACATGACTGCTATTCTTTTTTTTTTTTTTTGGTACTGGGGATTGAACTCGGGTCCTTACGCTTGCAAGGCAGGCAGCAGAACCACTGAGCTAAATCCTCGGCCCAATGACTGGGGTATTCTTATAAGAAGATTAGCACACAGACACACACACAGAGGGAGATCTCTGTGAAGAAGCTCGGACAAGATGGTCAGTTACAAGCCAAGAAGAGGGACCTGTGTAAAAACCAACCCTGTCAACACATTGATCTGAGACTTTCAGACTCTGGAGTTCTAACCAAATAAATTTCTGTGATCTAAGCCAACCAGTGTGTGTGATATTTGTTATGACAGTCTAGCAAGCTAATACTATACATGATTTTTTAAAAAATGAATTGCCTCAAAGGAGTGACAGTAATAGTAATTGGCATAATCTTTGAGAGGTAAAGAAGGCGACTAGGCAATATGTATCAAAACCCAGCAAATTCACTATTATAAGAGATCCTTAAGGAAATCCCCAAATGGGCCTGAAAACTCTAGACTCTGCTATCTTATCCCTTCCCAGGAGAGAGGACTGGAATAGCAGATTAATATCATTGCTAAGAGTAAGGCACAGCAAGATCCAAGTGCCCTGTCCTGAAAGAGGCTGCAGAAAAAGAAAATATTTGCATTTCTCCTGCTTGGGGAGCCTTTGTTGAGAAATCTAGCTTGCTTGTTCTCTTGATTCATATCTAAATAGTTAGATTAAGAATACATTTTTCACTTTTGGGGCCAGGGATTTAGCTCAGTGGTTTCGCCGCCTGCTGTGCAAGCGCAAGGACCGGAGTTCAATCCCCAGTACCAAAAAAAAAAAATAAAGAAAGAATACATTTTTCACTTTCCATTTCAAATAAAGCAAAAGTAATTTACAAATGAATTTCACCTTAGGACCCCAATTTCAGCCTCTAGGAAAGCAATAAGAAAGGTCAGACACCTCTATTTGGCTGCAACAGCCACTAGATATTCCCTTTATGGGTTTAGCAGTTAATGTTGAACAAAACCCATGTCTTGCTCACCCCAGATCACCAGCAGCTTAGTACCAGGCAGTCAAATGACTAATGTTGTCTCTTCAGGCAAAGAGCTCCAAACCAGGTTCTGGATATCATTTAAGCAATGTCTTAAGTCAAAATACAGGGCATGTAAGAAGCTTTGACCTATGCTTGCCTCAAAAGAGCCCAAGTTTCAACCCAATTCAAATAAAAGGAGATATTACTTAGAGGAGAACATATTTTTGTTTGTTTTGAAATTAGGTAACAATATCTGGTTTAAACTTAACCTTACTTTGTTTCATTGTGTCTTTTTGGCAACAGCTTAATTAAACTGTACTAAACATACCATACAGTTCACTCATAGTGTTCACTGGTTTTTAGTATATTCACAGAATTATGCAACCATCACAACAATTAAATTAAGAACATTTTTATCATCCCCAAAAGAAACTCTATACCCTTTACAAACACGCCCCAGGGGCCCTCATCCACCCCACTCTCAGACAACCACCTAATCTGCCTACAGAGTTTTGCCTACTCTAGAAATTTCCTATAATTTCCTATAAATGGAACCATACAATATGTGCCTTTTTGTATCTGACTTCTTTCACTTAGCATAATGTGGGGGTTTTTTGTTGTTTTGAGACATGATCTCACTATCTAGCTCGGGCTGTCCTTGAACTCACTATGTAGCCCAGACTCACAGCAATCTTACCTCACCCTACCAAGTGCGCTACCAAACCCAGCTATAATTTTTTAAAACTTTTTAAAATTAGTGCAAATTTGTCATCCATACTGATCACCTTCATCATAGGGAATTTGTACCCATTTTATATATA